TCACAGGTCGATACTTAAGTTCCGAACTCGGACGGCTCCGAGATCCGGGCATTCACCCTTTCAATGTCCCAGATCAGCCTTCTTGTCACGGTTCACACCCTTGTGAAGTATTGTCCGCTCTGACCCCCTTGATCTCACGGTTTTGTTCTACAAAAGGCACCTCACAAAGCAAAGGTAGTATGAAACCTTTTATACCCTCAGTGACCAATGTGGGATTCAAGACTCCCACTTAGGTCCGTAACATTCTCCCTCACCTAACATCATGACGCCTTCGTCACTGAGGCTGGCCACCCTGCCTGCCTCCTTTGAGATGCTTGACGTGGATCGAACGATTTAGGGCTGGCTCTGATATCACTTGTCACGGGTCGAGACTCAAGCTCCGAACTCATGCAACTCCGGGACCTGGGCATTCACCCTTCCGGGCTTGGCGTGGATCGAACGGTTTAGGGCTGACTCTGATACCACTTGTCACGGGTCGAGACTCAAACTCCGAACCCGCGCGGCTCCGAGACTCGGACATTCACCCTTCCGGGACGTGAAAAGGGTGAATGCCCCGGTCCCGGAACCGCGCGGGTTCGGAGCTTGAGTCTCGACCCGTGACAAGTGGTATCAGAGCCAGTCCTAAATCGTTCGATCCACACCAAGCACCTCAAGGGAGGCAGGTAGGGTGGTCAGCCTCAGTAACGAGGGCGTCACAAGGTTGAGTGCGGGAGAATGTCACGGACCTAAGAGAGAGTCCTAAATCTCATATCGAACATAATAGGAAGGTCACTGGGGTATATAAGGGTTCACACCATCTCCGCCTTGTGAGGCGCCTTTTGTAGGATAAAATCGTAAGGCCAGGAGGGCCAAAGCGGACAATACCTCACAAGGGTGTGAACCGTGACAGTCAGGCTGATCCGGGACGTCAGAAGGGTGAATGCCCGGGTCCCGGAGCCGTGCAGGTTCAGAGCTTGAGTCTCGACCCGTGACAAGTAGTATCAGAGCCAGCCCTATACTGTTCGATCCATGCCAAGCACCTCAAGGGAGGTAGGCAGGGTGGCCAGCCTCCTTGACGAAGGTGTCACGAGGTTGGGTGACGGAGAATGTCACGGACCTAAGGGAGAGTCCTGAATCTCACATCGAACATAATAGGAGGGTCATTAGGGTATATAAGGGTTCACACCATCTCTTCCTTGTGAGGTGCCTTTTGTAGGACAAAATCGTGAGGCCAGGGGGACCAGAGCGGACAATACCTCACAAGGGTGTGAATCGTGGCGATTAAGCTGATCTGAGATGCCGGAAGGGTGAATGTCCGGGTCCCGGAGTCGCTCGGGTTCAGAGCTTAAGTCTCGATCCGTGACAAGTGGTATCAGAGCCAACCCTAAACCGTTCGATTCACGTCGAGCGCTTCGAGGGAGGTAGGCAAGGTGGCCAGCCTCTGTGACGAGGGCGTCACGAGGTTGGGTGCAGGAGAATGTCACGGACCTAAAGAAAAGTCATGAATCCCACATCGAACATAATAAGAGGGTCACTGGGGTATAAAAGGGTTCACACTACCTCCGTCTTGTGAGGCGCCTTTTGTAGGACAAAACTGTGAGGTCAGGGGGAGCCAGAGCGAACAATACCTCACAAGGGAATAAACCGTGACAGGAATGTTGATCTAGGATGCCGGAAGGGTGAATGTCCGGGTCTCGAAGCCGCACGGGTTCAAAACTTAAGTCTCGACCCGTGACAAGTGATATCAAAGCCAGCCCTATACCGTTTGATCCACGTCAAGCACCTCAAGGGAGGTAGGCATGGTGGTCAGTCTTCGTGACGAGGGCGTCACGAAGTTGGGTGAGGGAGAATGTCATGGACCTAAGGGGGAGTCTTGAATCCCACATCGAAGAGGGTCACTGGGGTATATAAGGGTTCACACCATCTCTTCCTTGTGAGGGGCCTTTTGTAGGATAAAACCGTGAGGCCAGGGAGGCCAGAGCGGACAATACTTCACAATGGTGTGAACCGTGGTGATTAGGCTGATCCGAGACACCGAAAGGGTGAATGCTCGAGTCTCGAAGCCACGTGAGTTCGAAGCTTAAATCTCGACCTATGACACTTATACTTCGTTGCAGTCTCATAAATTATCAAGAAGATATTTAAATGAATGGAATGCAATTAAATAATTGACCAAGTGAAATATGTAAAATTATAACAAAATAGGAAATTTAATGAAAAGAAACTCTCAAACCAACTAGGAGAGAGAAACAATACGAATCATATTTGAGTTTGATATCAAAAAGCAAATATATTAGTAATGCATATGAAGATATCTTTCTATCATATCTTCTAACTTAATTCTCTCCCACAAATCATAAAATCCTTTAACAAAATGAGAGAGATTAAGGGACTTATCTTTAATCACATAGTTGGTCAATTTAAACTCTAACTTAAAAAAAAAAGTAAGAATAAAACATAAATCGGGAGAGTAAAGCTTAAAAAAGATATCAAAATTTTTAAGCATAAATGCAACCATTCTATTTATTGATTTCAACAGGACATATAATTTTTAAACCTATGGATCCCATCCATACTTTTATTTTTTTTCCAATAACATGTCAGTATAGTTCGAATCTAATTCACGCATAATTTTTTTAAAAAAATGAAAAAACAACAATACTATTAATTACAACCAATATTATCAATAATATCATAATATAAATTATAAAACTATATTTGAACTAATTAATAAAAAATGTACATTTCTTTCGGTTGTTCAATAATAACTTTATTGCCAAAATATGTAATCTACAAAGAGAAAACATTTTAATACAAGTAATACATAAAACAAAACGACATAACATTTAACGTGTACACATACAAACAAATTTCCACATAGCATTTAAACACACATACATATTTAAAAAATATATACATTTTTCATTACTATAAATCATGATTATCCTAAACAAAAAAAATAAAAAATAAAAATAGAATAGATTCAACATTTACATTTGTTGCCAACTTATTCATATTTCATTAAATTCAATTACAAGAATTATTTGTGTTACATTATTATTTTTGTGGCCTTTAAATTTAGGTACGAAGAGCACTAAGACTCTGAACCTAAAATTTCTATCAAAATATCATCCCCACATATATCATTTAAGTCCAAGTTGCAATGTGTAAATAGTTTATGCTTGTATACCCTTTTCCTGTTCCTGAGATGTAGTTTTTGCCCTTTTTTTTTTTTTTGAATCAACAACAAAAAAAAAAAACAACAGTTTCAGAAAACATAAAAGTAAAACTGAGCCAAAAAGAGACGGGAAGATAATTAGATACCTATACCTACTTTCAATTGAAAGACAATCTCATTCAAATTCTACTTTGTTCATGTGCCTATATACACACACAGGGAAGATAACGAGAGAGAGAGAGAGAGAGAGAGAGAGAGAGCATATCTATTCCTCAAGTTAAATCACCAAATTGATGAACCCCGAGCTAAGATCAACTGTTTCATGTAATTACTATTAAAAAATGACATCTTAATATGTTTAGAATTCGAATATTAACATTTATAATTTATTATTTTATCTTCAAGTCGTGACTTTTTGTTTAAGAAAAAAAAATACCAAATTGATACAATTGAATCAAGTGAAGCATACCCAACTTGCCATTAAAAAAAAAAGAAAAATAATATTTACCAGGCAAGTTTTAGCAGAATGGCAAATTAATCTGCTATCTTCTAAGAAGCATTCAAGAGCTAATATAGTATGCTTGAATTAAATATGCGCGAAGTGCAAGACATACTTAATGCAAATTAAATGGAGAGATCTTTAGCACACTCACCTTATAATCAAAGAGGACGGTGATGAAAGGCTTGAGAGTAAATAGAGTAAGGATAGAAACGGATTGAGGATTTTCACTGAATCCGATTCTGATGTTTTATCTATACTTTAATTTAATATTAAAATATTATTTTTATATTTAACTAGTATATTTATAAATCGTAATCAATTCAATCTTAATTTAAAATTAATTTAATAATATTAATTTAATATAATATTCATAACATAGTAATTTTAATAAAATTATATCTTAATTATACATAAATATAGTATTTTTATTAAATTAATATCTTAAATTAAAATATTAAATAATAATTTTATGAATATAATACATATATATAAATTAATTAATTAAATAAATTAATATATATATATATGGTCGGAGCAATGTTACCTAAAACACAAATCCGACTTTAGAGAAAAAAACCTGACCCACCCTGACTTTCAATGTAAAATATTTTTAATTTTATCAGATTAAAATGAATTAAAACTCCTCTATGAATTATTTTATTATCATGCTCTCGGCGCACGCTCTTTGATGGGTTGACTGCCGCTCTGTTTCTGTCTATCAGTTTTCTAACTGGCCTTTCCCTACCGGAAAAAGTATTCCTCTCTTTTTTTTGTTTTTTTTTATTTTTCTCTCTTTCCGTTAATCTAAATAACATCATCATCATAGCATTAATTTTGAAGGCTTGGTATAAGATCTTCACAACTTGTTTGTCAAGAAGCAAGAAAGATAAAAACTAAAGAAAAAGATGATGCTTCAATATTCCCTTTAAGTTATTAGAGTTGTATTTACATAATTAAGTTGTAAATCAAAACTTGAAATTACCAATACCAAATATCTTCAGATGCAATTAATAAGTAAATCGAAAGAGGGAGGCAGAGAACGTTTGGTTCATGCAGCCAGTCCTTTCTCTTATCACAAGTTAGCGCCTCCTTTGTACCAAAAAAGAAAGGAATGCAGAGTGATGAGAATTGCAGGCACCTCATGCCCATCTCATTGTGAGTCTCCATTATGTGCCAGCCCAATAAATGTGAATGGATGGAAGGGTAACAATGCATCAGATTGAAGACTCAAGATTCAAATTCTAACGGAGTAAACATCCGAGGTTTTATGTGAAAATGCAAGTTCAGGTTTCTCTTTGTTAGTTAAACAAACACCGGTTCCGAAGAGAGACAAAAAAACCATTAAAAAGAACAAGAAGGGGATGCATATCATTGCCACTTCTTAATGCTCTCTCGATACAGCAAACTTCATACTTTCTGAGCTTTTGAATCCACATTTAGAGAGAGCATGCTACAAAAAGCAAGAGCTAACAAAGAGAAGGAAATAAGGATCCTAAGACAAAAGAGTCTACAGATGGGAAACTACATCAGATAACTTGAATAGAAACCTTCATAATTTACATTTCTAACTAGGATGAGGAGGAACTAGGACGAGAACTGACCTTCTTCAGAAGTCCCTTAATCTCGCTCTCTAGTTTTGCTTTCATCTCTGGAGAAAGATTATCCCCCGACTTCTCTAGCATTGAAGTCATCATCTCCAGGTTCTGCCTTATGAAGTCAATGGGAGGTGCATCACTGAGGGGAGGCATCAAACCAGAGAGCTTTGCCGGAGTCCTGAATCCCTCCATGTGTTGAGTAGTTAGAATAGGGTCATTCTGAAGGTGATAATTCATAAGGGTTGCACCAAAAGGATTGCTCATCTCTAAACTCTGCAACGCTTTTCCAGCATCTTCACTCCTCATAAAAACAACTTGGGCACTGCTAGAATCTTTCAACATCTGAAGCTCTGATTCCTTCAAGGGTCCAAACCTGCAAAATGTCGCAACCAAAACTTCTTTTGAAGGCATGGAAGCACCAGGGGTGAACGTCAAGAGAAGAGTGGTCCCAAGGGGTTTTCCACTTGCCCCTGCTCTATTATAATTTACAGTTACATTTGGCATGCTTAAACTAGCCTCTCCTTTCCTCCTCCTCCTCTTCCGCACAGGTTTCACTGCAGGTATAACAGTGTTTGCCTCCTGCAAATCCTTTTCCAATGTGATGGGTTCAGTACTAGTTCTATTTAGATCTGGTATGGCTGCAGTGAGCATAAGGTTTGGATTGCCAGATGGCACCTTTGGCTTCCTTCCTCTCTTCTTCTGACCTGACTTACTATCAGATGCAAATGAACCCATGTCTGGTCTTGTAGGAGTCACATTGATTCCACTAGAATCAGGCAGACCAACATTCAACCCTACCCCGTTACTTTGTTCAGGAATTGTTTTAACGGAATATGGGCCTGTCACTTGGAAATCTGACAACATCGAACTGGAGCTTCCCTTATTTCCATTTTCAACAAATAAGCTTGGTGTTATGTTAGACTTTAAATGATCTGAAGCAGCTCTTTTCCTCTTTCTCTTTCTTGGCTCAGAAGCAATATGGCTCACTTGTAAATCTTCAGCCAATTGGATGGGTATAGCACCATTTTCATTTAAATCTGGTATGTTAGTAGCTTGTGTAGTCTGCTGACCAGCAAGAGTTTGTTTCCCATTAGGTGCTTGAGAGGCCATTGCTTGGAATGCTTTCACTGATAAGTTACACGTATCAAAGTTTATATTCACATCTGACAGGCGAGAAAGAGATTTAATGTTTGATGTCCTGGAGTTTGTAAGCTTCTTTTTCTTTGGAATTTTATTCCCAGGATAAGTAAGGGGTGAGGAAATAGGCTTCATTTCATATGGATCATTCCCTGACAAGCAAGGATCACTAGCTGTAGCCTCTTTCTGATTAACCATATTCTTGCAGTACATCTCATAAATGGATTCATCATGGTATGTTGAAATTCTGAATCTGGAAAAGAACCACTCAATCAGACCAAAGTTTTTACTTTCAGTTGGGAACAGGCAATCAACAGCTACAAAATGTAGTTCAGAAAGCAGTTCCGCAGAAGATGTATTGCTGAGCTCTGGATAAGCAGTTACATCATTCCCCCTTATGAATTTCCTATACCATTTTTTCTGGAACCTCTTTGCACTTTTTTTGACAACTGAAGGAGACCCAATAAATTCATTCACCACCTCATGAGAATCTTCCGGAGTTATAGGATCTTCGGTTTCATTTAAACCTTTACTTTCCCAATTAACATAGGGATACGACAAGTACTTGCTCTTCCTTCGTTCTCTCAACACAAAGCCCATTTCACTTTTTAACTCAGTGTTATCGGTGCCATTTTCTACAGAAGAAACGCATATGCCCTGATCAGGCCCTTCAAATTGAGTGCTGCTGTTCCTCACTTCAGAATAGTTTTTCCTCATTCTATTCCTTGAAGTAGAAGCCAGTTTGCTTGAGACAACACCTTCTCCAGCAACAATGTCTCCACAGTTCTCCGGCAAAGCTCCCCATCTCTCTCCCGAGATCTTGGCCAAAACTCCATTCTGATTGAGCAGTGACATCTCATTCTTTGTTACATCAGATTGTTCCAGCAAGAACTTATATGAGATGCTGTTATCTTCAGCTAAACCAGCATTGGTATCTCTTCCACTCATTGGACTGCTGCCAGCATTCTCTGCATCATATGTCATTCCCCAAAGTTGATGCATGGGCAATTGGCAATGTCCTATGGAACGATAAAAGGCCAACAAGTAGTTCTGCATGACAGTAAACTCAAGCATACAAGGCTTTGAAACAATCTGTGCAAGATTTTTGAGTTGACAAAGAAACTTTGCAGGCTCAAAATGAGCAACAGAAAACTCACCCAGTTCACCAAATTTGCACTCCGGCATGGAAGCTCCTTCCTTGGTTGCGGTATCACTACCTAGGAGCTTATTTTCTTTCAGAACACAAGAACAAGTAATCTCCGATTTCAGGTGCTTTCCAAAATCATCCACAGCCTTCTCAACTGCACCAAGAAAGCTTCTAGCTTTATTCTGTCCAGTCATCTGTTCAAAGTTCACATGGAAAGGCTTTAACTGTGATGGACAGCACCAAGCAATATGGCTACTCCCAAAGTACCCAACCAGCCAGCAGTTTATCTGGTCACCTTCTGAAGCATACTCTGGTGCGTCTGAAGGATCAAAGATCTTTCCTGGCCACCAAGTCTGACTTTTGGTTCTAACCCAAACAATATCACCCACATGAAGCTTATGTTCCTGCTCATCAATTATCAACTCCTCCTTACTTATCATTAACCCAGTACTGTCTACTTCATTTAAAGTACCCGAAAAGTCCACATAAAGCGATATGTTATCTCCGGAAACTTGTATCCTCTTGAATGAATCAACTCCATTAATCCCCCAACAATCATCTTCCTTTGTTCCCTCATCCCTAACAGGTTCTACAACCACATTGTCCTCATTTCCACTATTTACTATTACTTCCAATCTCTCATCAGATCCAGCTGTTGCAACACCCATTTGATTCTCTTTCTTTTCATCAACTCCATCATCCACTAAACGACCTTCTTCAGTCTCAACAACACTAATATCACTCTCTTTTTCATCCATGGCTAGGCTATCCCCTCCAACAGCATTACCATTTTCTTGAACCTGAACATCCAAAATGGAGCCTAAACCATTACGACTTTCACTCAAAGTGAGCAAGTCAGGGGTCAAAGAAGCTTCTTCTAAGAGTTCTAAATCTGGGTTTTTTGCTTCTAGGGTTTCTGGGGTTTTAGGGTTCTCCATTATCACTATTTTTTAAGCATCTGATAAACAAAACAAATTCAAAATTAGAAAAAAAATCAAAGCTTTATTCTAACGCCATTCATTCAAATAAAACTACTAATATATATTAAAGATAAAAAAAAAAAAGGAAAAAGAAAACCCACCAGTGAAGAAAGAGAAGATCTGAGCATTCACACTATGAGCTGAGTCAATATGGTTCACTTAGACGAGTTGAAAAGAAGGCTTGGCTTGTTTTTTCGGGGGTGAGTATTGAAGAGAGATTTTCAAGGAAAAAAAAAAGGAAGAAAGAAAAGAGAAAGGGGAAGTACGTGCTGTGAGAGTGAATAATAGGTCAAATTAACCTAAACAAATAGAGAAAAAGAAAGGGTTCTGATTTTAAAGCTTTTTTTTTTTTTACCCCTTTTTTTTTTACTCTTAAAATTTTTTTTTTTAAATTAAAGCTAGAAGATCCACATTTCCATGTTTCATTAATACACAACGTTGAGCGCAACATGAACACTAAAGAGCTCGGTTTAGTGTCAGTCAATGTCAAGATTGAATTCAACTTTTTCTTTCTTCTTAAAATTGAAAAATAAAGAGAAAATTCATACGTATTATTTATTTGCTATTATTTATTTCAAATAATATTTATTAAAATAAGTAGTTAAAGTTTTTTTTTTAAATTAAATAAGTAGTTAAAGTTATTTTAAACATTCTTGTTATTATTATCTTATTTAAGAATGTAGATATTTACTTGAAATAGAAAATTAGGTGTCATTAATTTATAAATTAAAATCAAAATTATGTTTGTAGGTATCAAAAATTTTTTAATGAAAAATCAAAATTTGAGTTTCTAATGTTAAAATATACATTAATTGATATGATCATAATCATAATCAAATCAAATCGGATTAATCTTTTAAAAATTTTGCCTAATATAAATCTTCAAGTTATTGATATGTTTTTGTTAAGTATTTATTAGAATTAATACTAAAAATTTTACTTTCAATAATAATAATTTTTTATTAAAAATAATAATTTTCTTTTATTAGATCAATCGATAGGATTAATTAAATCTAGAACTAAAAACCTATTGATTCAACCTTCAACTCAAATTTAAAAATATTGATGTGTAATTAATTTTGGTTTCAACTTACTCAAAAATAAATTTTTATTATGATAATTACTCAAAATTTGATTTGTTTACAATAGTCCATTATAATAAATATATAAGATAATATTTATTTAAAAATTTTAATATATATAAATTAAAATTTATTTTGAACTTCAATCGTATTTGTTACATCTAAACCTAAATATCATCTACAACTTTGACTAAAAATAATAACTCCAAAGAGATGTCAACATTAGAAGTGTGTACGGATCTGGTAGAGCTAAGTTGAGCCAAGCTTAGTTAACACTTCTAAAGACTTTTCTAAGCCCTGATTCGTCAACGTAAGCCCATTTAATCCCATTTAATTTATTGTTAAAAATATTCTTAAAATATATTTAAATTAATTTTTAAATAATAAAATGTTTCACGAGCCACACTTGATTTTAAAATCCTTAAAGTGTGATTTTATTCAAATTTACAAATTTGTAAACTTTGACAGATCATTCAATTCTTGTTCAGACATAGTTAGCATGAATTCTAATATTTTTAACTTTTTTTTTAATTACTGTTAATGAAAATTAGTCTAAAAAAGCTTTTATTTGCACCTCATTCTATTTATATCTCAAATGCAAAATTTAAACAAATATTTTACTCATTACACTCATTTATCCATTTTAGGCAATATTCATGATTTCACTCTAGCTCCAGTTCATCGGCGGATTGCATACGAGGTTTCCATATGAGGCCTTTACAAGTTTTTGGTCCAGTCCTAATAAAATCCCTTCTCCTTTCTCTTCTAGTTTGAAACTGAAATCTTTTAGCAGCTTGTGGAGGCCTAACTCTATGGCTAAGCATGGGCGGTAGATAAATAGATAAGTAAGAGTTGGCTTAATTTTACCATCTCGTAAACAAGGCTACAGCTTCTCTAAACTTCGAAATGCGCCCAGAGGAACACCTTTGGCACCAACATTTGCTCATCTTACACTTAATCCACCGCTTTACCTCAATTGTTTTCTCTTAACATTCAAATTCACTTTCATAATATTTGGTGCTTACCATACCTCCTCGAATCTAGTCAACCTAATCTCATCTATAAGTGATTTATCCTCTTAAAGAGGAAAAGGAGTAAAGCAACTATGTCACCTACAATCACATGTAAAAAAGGATCAAATATCTCTTCACCCGAGGCGTGAAGAGCAAGTTAACTATAGTATTCCCACCATCCAGTACAATAAAACATGAAGAATTTCAACAATTAAGAATGATACCCTTAGCCTAATCAAGTTGTGAGGTAATGCACCCACCACCTCAAAAGCAAGGCGCACGGCGTCAATGCGCAAAGGCAAGCCCACACGCCAATGTTTAAAGGAAGGAAGCAAACGATTACATACGAAAATTTGCACTTTAAAGTGTCTCTGACGTCAACCACCGAAGCGGAGCGCTAAGAGCCGCATATAAGAGATGATTTTGACAAAACAATAAAAATAAAAAAATAAAAGAAAATAAGAAAAATCAACTCAAAAAATTAAAACAATCATATCAAAGGCCTTTCGGAAAGAGAATAGAATTGATTTTGAAAAAAAAAAACTTGAAATTCAAAGGAAATTTAAATCGAAAAAGTTTGGAAAGTGTTGAAATCAAAATCAACAGATGAAATAAAAAATCTTAAATCAAGTAATCGAAAAATCAAGCATAAAAAACAAAAAAAAAAGTCAAATGCAAATCTGATTTCTTGAATCTCATTAATTCTGAAAATTGTCACAAAATTTTACCATAAATAGTCACAATTTTAGTCTCAAATTGCACAATAATAAGAAACTACTCGCACAATAATTCAACAGCAAAGGAAACAACGAAAAATTTTGACAGTCTGCTTTTGCGAGGTTTTCGGGTTTAGAAATTTTCAGGTTTAATTATTGAATATCAAAGCTAAAAAGGAAATTTAGAAGAAAAATGATTTTTTTTTTTTTGCAAAAAGTGTTGGCGGCTATGGACTTTGAATTAACCTCTTTCGAAGGTTTGACATTAGAACCAATGGCAAAAGGTTTGAAACTGATTTTAGAATTTTTAGACCATCAAAATTGATGATGAAAAAGACAAAAATCTGAACATAAAACCTAAATCTAAGAACTTTTTAACAAATTTTGATATATCTATACTGATAATAAGATGGAAAAAAACCAGAGAATTTGAAAGTTAAAAAAAAAAAAAAAAAAACGCTCAGTATAAGTTGACGTCATTAAAAAATATAATATCTTTTTTCTTTCAAGTTTTGAAAGTTAAAAAGATCAGCATAAATTAACATCATTCAAAACAAAAAAAAAAAAAAAAAGGGCAGCATCTATCTTGTTCCAATATGATTATAATAACCTTCTCGTAAGACAACAGTCATCACGTAAGTAGTCACGGATGCCAACAATCACCATGAATGCCTGCAGTTGACAAACACATCTTTTTTAAGAATTGAGCAACAATAAAAGCAATTTCTGTATCAACTTGTTAAAATATGATAAATCTAATCAATATCTGGTTTGTAAGCTCACCTAAAATTTGTGATCATAAGTGTCGAAACTACTCTTTCGAGTCACCTGAGCTAAAACTAAAATCACAGTTTATACTTCCCAAAGAATCACCTTTTCACTCTAGAGAATAACATTTAACAAAAATTCCCATTCTAAGGGATTGATTGAAGCGAAATGATTAAAACAACAATTGCATATCTAGAGCTAATTCGGTATAATAATCTTTATAATAATCCTTTTACCATTCTAGCTTTGCTTCTATTAGTAAGTGCAAATTCTTCATGTCAATTCTCTGTTCACTTAGACCAGCTTCTTCTCTGAATTTGCAGCTGCAACCCGCTGGCGTTTCCTCCAAGCTGGGATTTTACCAGGGAAAACCCATCTTAACAATCTCTCCCACGCATAGCAGCCCAGAAACATTAGTAGAGCCCACAGCAATAGCTTATCCCTTAATCCCATAGGCAAAGGAACCAACTTCAACCAATCATTCAAGTCCCTAAATAGATCAGAAGTTATAACCACAAAGAAACCAACAGCAGCTACAAGTGCGTACAAGAATGGTTTGTTTTCAGGGATGCTCTGGTTGAAAGGATGACCCATGTAGTTCACTGCAAATGTTGCTACCTGAAGCATCATGCTCACCATGTATGAAACTGTGTTCACTAGATTAGGGTGAAACTCAGAGTCTGGCTCAATGCATTCCGCAGGCATGTGTTTCTCAGCCTCTTTCACAGAAGAAATCAAGAAAAACAGGTGGATTGCAAACTGTCCCATGAGAGAGAGGAAGACATAGGAACAGAAAATATTGGGGTGGGGCCGTGCAGCTGAAAGGGTGGGAAGTGGGCGAGCATGTGAGATAAACAGGAAAAAAGCAGCAGTAAATACACCACTGATCGTAGCCTGGACATCACCCAGCTTGACGCCATCCAAATACATCACACTTAAAACATACGCTGTAGCAAGGCAGTTAAGGCCAAGTATTTTGAACATTTGAAGGGTAGTCACAAGGGTGCTGCGTCCTTGACGAATTATGTCAGTGGTTGGGGCAACTGATGCATGCTTTGCTGTAAATGGCGATGCCATCGAGGCATCCCCCAGTTTGACAATAGGAGCTGAGCGACCATCACCCTCCTCATTCAGCTCATCCATCAGCTTCTTCAGCTTCTGCCGATGCATCTCTGCAGCATTAAGATGTCGGTTATTGGTTGCATGGTTGCTAGATTCTGATCTTGTGGCAACTTTTCCTTTTGAAGAGGCTTCTGCATTAAGACTCCCAGTTTTGCCCGTTGCTTCTACATTGACCTTAGGTTTCTTTGACTTCAATGACTTCGTGCTATCATCTTTAGATGTTCCTGGTGAGGAGCTTTCACTTTTAGCAGGGAGCACTGCATTCAATAGGGCAACACCTACATGGGCCTGAAAAAATGTAGGGTGTTACATGTCCATACTTTTCTGCTCTCTTAGATTCCAGGAAAAATTAAATCTTCTTCTGTTAATCTTAAACCAACTTAAAAGCAATTAAATATGTAATTGAAAAAAATATAACAAGCAATTCATATTAACTACCTATGCACAAAAATTTCTATCATAAAACACTGTTGGATTGATGTTACTTTTCCCAAAGCATAAATTTATTATTAAATTTAGTCTAAAAGTGTACCCAAAGTTAATCCATATTCATGTAAAAAATAGAAAACAGTAGAAGACAAATTTTAATATATGTACAAAAAATTAATTCATATTCGTGTACAAATTTGGAAACAAAGAGTAGAAGACATTCACAATAAAAATGATAGATACAAAAAAGAAATATGATAAAGTAAAAGAGAGAAAAAAAAAAAAAAGACTTACATTTTGTTTGGTTTGAGAAAATGTTTTATTTTATTTTCATTTTCTGGAAAACAGTTTTTGTTTTCTAAAAATATATTTGATGAATGAAAATAAAAGTTATTTTCTAAAATTGCAAAATAATGGAATGTGTTTGATATGCTACACAATTTTTTTTTTTTAAGAGAAAGATTAAAGAAATAAATAAAACATTCAATAATATTATCTCTGATTTCAAACTTCTTAATTTTATTTAGTAATTTTATAAACTATTGTAAAAGAAACTTGAGCGTAAAGAGACAAAACATAGTATAAATAATTCCAGATGCCAAATATTTCTAAAGACAAAAAAAGGTGATAATGGAAATAATTACCATCAATGGCTTCTAATTATAAATATATAATACATATTTATTAATTAATAACTTCAAAAAGTATTCAAATATAATTCAACTTATTAACTTGCAAAATATAAGCAAAAAGTAGTGGATATCCCTTGTTTTCATAATTGAAAACAACTCTTTTTGTTTTCAAATCTGAACTTATTTTTATTTTTATTTCACTTAATAAACACATTCATTCTTGTTTTTCATTTTTCAAGAAAATGAAAACAGAAAATGCCTGTGTTTTCTAAAACCAAACATTATCTTAGCAGTCTATTCATGAATTCTACTATAATGTAACCAGATGATGGTAAACATTGTAGTTCTTAACCTAGACAATGCCCATAAACAAAAAGGAAAGTTTTTGGAACTTGGATTTCAATTTCATCATAATGACATAGAAAAAGATACATATGCATCTCATAGCCAAAGCAACTGACCAAATGTAATCCTGCAAGGTATTTGGACAGCTTATGGAGCAGATCCTATCAACTCTTGAGGTTTTAGTTGAATTGAGTTGAGTTGAATTGAGTTGATCTCTATAGGAGATCTGTTTTCTTCTTCATTATGCGGTTAATCATTTATTGACAGCTAATGGCAGCACAATAGACATACAAATATATAGCCTTGATACATAATGCTAAATTGGGATGCCAAAATAAGTGTACAGACCTAAAAAGCCTTAAACATAATGGCTGCACGATAAACAAATGAAAACATACAGCCTTGATACATGTAGCTAAAATTAGATGCCAAAATGAGAAAACAAAACTAAAATCCTTAAACAAAATATTACCTGCTTAAGAGCTCCAACATCATTGGTACCATCACCACACATTAAAGTCATCCTTCCCACTGTCTTGAAAGTGGTCATGATTAGTTCTTTCTGCTCCGGAGCAACTCTTGCAAAAACCTACAATGACATTGTGCTGCCAATAACTTAGATAAAGTAAAGTGATGTAGAAAACCAATAACAAATGGATCATAGAGTTGCAACCTTAACAAAAGGAATGACTCGTAAAATAGTAGAAGTCTGTTGTAACATTTCAATGCAGTCACCTCCAATACAGAGATCATGAGTTTTCGACAAAGCTTCAACCTCTTTCTCACTGAATATCATGTAAAATCCTTTCATCAGTCCAGTTAAGCAGAAGAATAAGGAAGGGTAGGGGTGTGTTCAATACACCAAATCAGAGGATCAATATGACTAATTCCACTAAAAATGTATGATCAAACAAACCTTGATATATTGGCCAAAAAAAAAAACCTTTATATATATATGGAAGAAGCAAGATTTATGCTCAATAAGCTTATCAGAATTAGATGTAAGAAACCCAGTAAAAGCCTAAAAGGAAATTAGATGTAAGAAAATAGAGTTGAGAGTAACCAGAGAAACATAACCTGTAGCGAATCCTCTCAGTCTCATCTGGTGATACCCACTCATATCCTTCACTATTCTTCACCGGACCAAGGATCAATGCTGGTTTCGATACAATATGAACTTGGGCAGCAACATGGCAAGCTGTCAAAGCTTGATCACCAGTTATCATCACCTAAAATTATGAAAATTAATTTTCAGAAAAACACAAAGTTGCTTCTCAAATCTAAGACTTTCCCACTTAGAGGAGGAAGGTAAGATGAGAATGCATGAAGAGCACATGAAACCTTGGAGGTATTTTCCACATAAAACAAGCCCTAAAAACCTCGCTCACAGTTCCATTCTCAAATTAACAAATGATTTATAGGAAAGAACAAATGGAGGATGGAAAATGGGAAGGGCGTCGACAAAAAAAAAAGTAACATGAAGACCATTCTCTCTAGGGCCCCAACATCTAATCTACCCAAATTCTGGTGATCATAAGAGGAAACCATAAGTGATTCAAGTTCTGAAATCTGGTACAATTACCTTTCTAAGGTATATATGCATACATGTACACATGTATTCATCATTGATTTCATTATTAAGATACTAAAGTAGAAGATATTAATGCTTTTTCCCTATAATATAAATGCAATTTCATTATTAAGGTACTTAAGTAGTAGAAATTAATGCTTTTTCCTTGTAATATAAATGCAATTTCATACAAATTGTATGTCATGGTAAAAGAGATTTATATGTGAGAAAGGCATTATTGATATGAAATAATAAGGATCTAAAGATTTCAACTTCTTTCCTATCAAATTTTATCCTACCAAGCAAGAAAAGAGAAATATTTCCCCTTTTCATCCATTTTATCTATTTATCCAACCAAATACATCAGCTCACTTTTCCTTTTCTCAGTTTTTATCTAGGGAAATTTTGATCATCCCTACCATCTAATACTTAAAAAGTAAAATGTTCAGAGCTGGTTGACATCCCAAATTAAACAAGGCAGCCGACACAGTTTAGCACTTGGAGGGGGAAGGTTTCCACATGTGCCCAAAAATCCATAACATGTTTGAGATACGGTAAATACTTTACAAACTTTGAAACCTCAAGCCAAAAATCTAGTAACTTTACTGTTGCATATATCAAGGTACAAATGAACTTGTGCAGGCACAAAAATTTTCACAAATCCAATTGCAAAAAGACTGAAATGATTGCAATAAAAGACATTTCAAGATTTGCAATTTTTAAAATCAATATCATTTTTCTTTACCATCATTTTAATAGTGGAAGAATACCACAACATTTAGGAAGAGATGTCCAGAAGATTATGCCACTTACCAAATCATGTGAAGAATTCTTTAATTCAGATAGAATAGCTGAAGAGTCTGCTCTAATAGGACAGTTAAATACCTGAAATTTAAGTTTTGAGCACTAAGTGGTAACAAAGGTAAGTAGTATCAAAATATTGATCTAAACATCTAAACTAGGCAAATATGTCCAGCAAAAGAACCAAAAAAAGTAACTATACAAACATGAAAGAATTCATTGCTTAATGCTTACAGCAAAACCAGCAAATGTGAGGCCACACTCTACAGTATCCCTCTCCATGCTTCTAGCTTCACTAACCTGCAGAAGACATGATGCAAAATTAAGAGACATGACAACTAATTAAGCACTTGAGATCAGAAGGTCGTACAAATTTACAATTATAAGAAACAAGTTAAAACTGCAAGTGTTTGTGCATTGTCATGTATTCGAACAAACATATTATCTTACTAATATATTGATAAGCTTTGCTCTTTTCTACTTCTGGCTTTTATCCTCAGGAAGAGGGTGTCTCTAAAGACTTTTGATAATCAAGGTCTCCTGTCTAGATTTAAGATATCTAAAGTCCTCAGGTGTGAAATGAGAGAACTAATCCCAAGTAAAAACTAGTTCAAACTTAATTATCTTTTCTAGGGATATACCAAAAACTAGAGGGAACCAAATGCTGAACCCAGAAAAGTGATATAGGATGTTGCTGCCAAGAAAATGTAATGCAGGAACCAAATGCTGAACCCAGATTGAATTAGGGGATATTGTCAATGACCCAAAAAACTATGGTAAGACCACATCAGGCACCACATTCTTTCTTAATCCCCTCATAAGAAAAGACTATTAAAACAAAAGTTGCTTTTTCCTCTCATTATATTAAACCAAAAGTTGCACTGAATGTTTGAATAATTGGGGGATCGTTCCTCTATCGTTGTCAATTCCCTGTTTAATGCTTTGAGTTTTCAAAATTTTCGTTTTCATTTTGTTTTATTTTGTGACAAGAAGAAACATAATTGGCTAATTAAAACATGTTTCAAAATTCCGAACCACAGTGAGTCCATGGCCAAGTAATAGAAGTGGCTAGGAGCATGAGGTCTTGATTTCTACATCCCATAAGGAGTGTTCATTTGGCCATTTAGGTTTTACAACTGAAACCAAATTACCAAAAGTGAATTAAGCGAGTTAGTACTTTTTCATACCCTATCACCAAACCAAAATTCTTTGAAACCAAACCTTAACCAACCAAAATATTATGTTACTTTGGTCATGGTTTTGATATAACTGAATTATATTGAAGTTCTCATTCTAGTGCTAAGCAAAACAAAATAAGTTAATGAAGTTCACAATTTCAATAAATTCTAACAAATTGATATTAGGTAAATAAAACTGACAAACTCAAACAAATTGAGATTATGTAAATAGATTAAGCAAATATAAATTATGTGTTTTACTTGTAGGTAAAATATAGGGTCTTTTGGCTTTTCAAATGATCGATTTTCGATTTACCCAAACACTAAATATCCCTAAAATTTATTTCAAACACTGACCAGAATAATTTCAATAGCCGGCCAAATTATTTTAGTTCAGTTAGTTAATTAGTTAAAACTGAATTGCACACGCTGATACTAGTCAAATCTTTTTTTATTTTTATTTTTTTACCAAAAAAGAGGTCACGTTTGAGCAAAGCTACTGTTCACCCATGCATGAAATGTGTTGGAAATGTTTCCAAAATGTTGGGAACAAGAAATTCTGGCTATCAATCATTTCAGTTATTTTTTAAAACAAAAGGAAGTCGGATTCATTGAAGTTTTCAAAAATGTGAACAAAAACAGAGAACGAAGTACAACAGAATTACCAAAATGGAGCCAGAAGTGTGACCCAAAAATCAGTTATTAACTAATTGAAACAACATTGCTAGCAATATTATGAGATTCACAGCTATTGCACAACATCTTCTAATGAATGGAGACAGAGAAACAAAAAAAAATGCTTTTTATTTTGTTTGAGAAAAGGAGAAAGGCAGGAAGGGAGGGGTTGAGGGTGTTGAATGTTAAATCCATAGAACACTTACTGTCATATCTGGAAGAGACTTGTAAGCAAGGGCCAGCACACGAGACCCTTGACGTGTATATTTCTTGTAGGTTTCAACATATGCTGGAGGCAAATCAATGAGTCTATCTTGGATAGTCTCAGGTGCACCCTGCATGCATAAGTTCAGACTAATGAGAAATTTATTAAATGTTTTCATCTTTCTAAATAGTTATGACAGATGGCATAGATCAACTAATACAAGCTAGCAAATGCATTCTGGAAGATCCAATTATTACCTATTAACGAGTTGGCACATGGAAAAGAGAGGACGAATAAAGTTTTAACTTTTAATGAACCAAATAAATGTCAACCCTAAGATGAGCAATAATGCTTCAAATATTCCTAAGCAAAAAAAATGCTTGTGACAGGTGTGATGCTTCCCATTTGACATACAAATGTTTACAATAGTTTTATTGCATTATGGAAATTTTATTAATAAATAACCTCTAAGGAAACCATAACACGTAAAATTCAGCTCCATGACAGATTCTAGATAGTCAGCAAGAATCTGATAGCAGAATAATAGATCTGCACAAATAGCAAACAAAAAAAGACTAGCAAACAGACCTTGACAAAAGCGAAAAACTCCTCCTGGACACGAACAACAACTGCCATTCTTTTCAAGTGGGATGCAAAATGGTGCCTCTGCACAATCTGCACAGCATTGCCACTTCCCCTGAAGTTCATAAGATATAAGAAATGAGAGTGTAAAACCAAAACTTCATAAAGAAAAGATCTTCTAAAATAATGAGTGATGAAAATCACAAAAGTGTTGGAAGAATAGCATACATACATATAACGTATGAAATATAAACAAACATGCAATATACCATAATTGTAACCTGATGACAGGTTAGATAAAAAGTAAACAAATAAAAATTAGTTAGGTATGGTAGAACTACTAAAATTTGTCAATCCTAATTTCAAAAACAGATTCAGTCCATCTAATCAGATGCTCACCTGCAGGAATCCACCACCCATTATCAGCTATTATCTATATAAATTTCAGTGACACTTATAACCTTCTCAAATTAAACTTATATTTGTGTTTATTGTTCAGTCACAATATCAAACAGCATCTATACGTTGAATTATTTGGTTCAATTTTTCATATTTTTGCTTGGAAAAGAGCAGGTCTGAATCCAAGGTTTTCTTGTCTATCAGATGCCTTTTTTTCTTTTCAACTTCCTGCCCACATTTACTTCACCATTAAGGATTTGTTGTAAATTAAAAAACAGTTAACCAGCACTCTACTCAAACATGTTAGCCCAAAAAGTCTCAAACACATCAATTACTGCAATGCATTACCTTATAGTCGGAGATTTTCCCTAATTATTAATTACCAACAACAAGCCAACTTTTTAACCAAATTGATGATCAATTTAGCAGGAACAACCTTTTCTCTTTTCTAGGAACAAGAAATCCAATTACTATCCATTAAAGTTCCAGTAGTTCCAAGAACATGTATTTTTGTGGCTGTATGAGATAGGAATCAGTTCAATCAACACAAAGTATCTGCAAACAGCATCTTCACAGCAATAACAAATGAGAAAGAAGTGTTAGGCTTATTTTGGAAGTTCAGGATTTTCAAAGATAAAATATTGTCTTTCTGTTCTCAACATTTCTCAGGAATCCCTTTCTTCCTTTTACCTTTTTCTTCACCTACAAAGGGCAACACACTACTTAAACTAGCATGAAGCACAAAGATAATCAGGAACGCATAAAAAAGCACCAGAAATTAGAAGCCAACTCAAAATAAAAGAGTAGAAAAGAATTGCAAACATATGAATTAGTAATAAAAGCAAAAATGACCAATGAGCATCACAAATTACTTTTTTGGAATAGCCTTCTCATCAGATTTATAACTCCAATCAATTCCTTTTAGTGCAGCCTTCTCAAGAGGATCACCAACCTACAAGCATTTGCAGAATAAAAGAAACTTACAGTAGTAAGATATACATAACTTAAACCAAAAAAACTAAAAGTATATAATTGACAACACAAGGAGAATGCAACACAACATCACCATACCAGGCTTGCAGAGACAAATTTAATACGCTCACACTTTAAGAGCAGAATATACCAAGACCAGGAATCTCCAAGCGAGTGAATTACATAGTTCCATAAAGTAACATAAAGCTAAATGTTCCATAAAGTGACATACAGCTAACTGTAGATGTGGAGGATTATTTTAAATGCCTTAAAATTTTAAAAGCCACAAATTCATAGACATAGGTCCTTCTAAATGTTTTTAAAAGTATTAGATAGGTGACATTTTGCATTCCACTTAGCATTCGGCAAACTAAATAGATCTTCTCTTTGTAACAATGGATGATACCACCCCATAAATTAAATGAGAGGGAAATACAAGACATTCCACAAGAAATACTAGTTTCTCATAACTTCCAACCATTTTCTATAAAACTACTTATCATCAGATAGAAAGGAAAAAATTGCATTCCAAACAGTAGTTATAAGAAGCCAAAATCAAAAGACAAATTATAAGCTTTGTTTATCCAACAAGCATACCAGCTTGTTGTCTACAAACACCAAGGCATGACAAGAAGCCAGAATCTCAACCGTGCGGGGAGAAACTTTAGTCATATCAGATTCTAAGTCTGAACTGTCACTTAACCCAACAACTCCAGAGAACTCCTTGAAAAAGCAAAGAAAAATGAAATCATTAAATGAAAAAAAACATTATAGAAAATCACTTCTTGCCTTAGTAGTAGCATACCATATCATCTGATGTCAGTGTTCCAGTTTTATCGAAACAACAAATGTCAACCTGTGGAAAGAAACAGCTGGAAGCATTGAATTCAATGTGATGCAAAACAGCATGAAGGTACTGTAATGTGTCAATTACCCCAGAATCTAGCCAAAACAAAAAATTGGAAAAGTACGAGAAAAGAAAATATAGTGCACAACTATGGATGCTAAAGCTACAAACTATCTTCTCTAACTATTTCATGCAAAATTGCTAGGCCCTTAGCCCAGAAAAGGAATAGGCCACACAAACCTTTCCAGCAAATGGGATTCGAAAAGGCTCTGTACAAAATATTCCACGCCGAGCAAGGGCAATCAAAGATGTATTAACAGCTATTGATAATTCCATTGGTAGCTCTGGAGGAATCACAGAAGTAATAATAAGAGAACAACTTAGGAAGAGCTTGTACTTGCTTCTTGTAGGATCTTCCAGCCCCTACATGTAAAAATGACATCATTATCGTATGCCTAGCCATAAAATGTAAGCTAATATAGTGTCGAATACCTCAATAAGAATTAAGTTACCTTTTTAAGTACATAACCAGCAGCAATTATCGCAAACACAACAAGAAATAAGATGAAGAAGCCACTTTCCCAGCTGTTAGCAGTAACCTACAACACATAATTGAAAATGAAACTACTGAAAATCAAAATACGAGATGGATAAAGATAAACTAAAATCTTAAAGGGTACTTGAATAAGGATCAACAAGAAATTACCCTCTCTGTAGAAAACAAAATTGTCCTCATAAGTTTCCCTTGACTTGTTTCAAACCCAGTGCGCAGAATGACAGCCAAGCAGCCGCCATCAGGAGTTTTCAGAGGGAAGCTCTGGCTCCAATTAAAAACATAGAAATGTAAATAAAAGGAATAAGCATATCAGATATATAAATAACTGAATCTTGGTATAGCCTACCTTGTCAGCAGTGTGCTGCAATATTTTAGTCCCACCAAACAAAATATGATTTTTATCACGCTTGGCAGATAGCTTCTCCTCAATTCCCTTGCCCATTATAGAAACCTAAAAAAATAGTTTCATGTCATGTAAACTGTTTAAATGTGACTCAACAAGGTTTTGCTCTTGTCCAGCTTCTATGAGGGAATTAATTTGAAAAAGAACCCCAAATGAAGTGCAACAGATATACATACCAATTGGTCTAAACTACAATTTAAAGCTATAGGGAAAGAATTTAAAGGCAACAGCAGAAGTGAGCATAGACAATACAGAACTTTCAAGTCAAATTTAAAAGATAGTTATGCTAACCATAAAAGAGAAATATAGTTTGTTTTACTACAGAATTTACATCCCAACATCCCAAAATTGAACTTCCACAACAAAGATTTCATACAAGTAAACATCAAATAGCAGCTACCTGAGAGAAGATCATTGTTGATTACTAAAATAGGGAACAAGAAAGGTATTAAGAAGAAGGAATCACCTTCCATTGGGGAGTAGACTCGCCTGTGAGAATGGCTTCATTCACAATAGCACTTCCTGCTAGTATAAGCATGTCTGCAGGTACAGACTTATCTTCCCCATTTTGACCAGTCGATCGACCAATGGAGACAACATCCCCAGGCAATAGATCGGTACCAGAAAGTTTCACCCACCTGCAACTCCCAAAGATTGAAAGATAAATCTACAACTCTGAAACAGCTTAAAAACATATACACAAAAAAAAAAAAAAAGAAAGAAGCAAAACACACACAAACCCTATACAAAGCAATATGGTTGATGTTTAGAGAAACATACTTGCCACAACGATGCACCATTAGAGTCTGGCCGTCCACTCTAACACGTCTTAACTCACTTAAAGTCTTCAACCGACTTTTTGCCATTGTTGACTCAAACATAAACAGCATGAATAAGGTGAACAAACTGTAATACCAATACTCATCGAGACACCAAAGACCAACACAGAAGACCTATGCACAAACAAGATAAAAATGTTAAAGGAAAAAATTTTCGGTCATCAAGAAAAAGAAAAACTATGAAAGACATTTGAATGAGTAACAAGAAGAAAACCTGAAATACAAAAAAGGGCTCCATGCAATGCTCTTTCATTAATTTCTGAAAAGTAGGTTTTGGGTATTCAAAGCTGCATGATGGAAACACATCCGTGTGAAGATGGAAACATACCCCCATTATCATGAACCAGTCAAATTATTATAAAAATTAAAACAATAACCCAAATTGTCATAGGCTACAAATGTAGTTCACAAGTCACAACTGACATGAGTAAGAAAATCAGAATCTGAAAATTGAAAGGGGGGAAAGTATCATGCTCTGTAAATTAAATTGGGTAAGCATCAAAACAAAATTACAACAAAGAAAGAATAAAGAGGTGTGGTGGAAGAAGACACAAACAGCATCTGAAATCTCCAAACTACCAAATAATTAGCTTTTTCGATCAAAATGTTGTTTTAACTGGAATCTTTATCATTCAGTTTCATAAAAACTGAAAGTATGAAAAAAAGAATGACACTCTAATGGAGGATAATTTGTTTTTCCTTTCATGAATTACATATTTTATGTTTCAAGAAGAATAATATTCTAATGTAAGACAAAACTGCCATCTTAATGAAGGTTTTAATTCTTCTTTGTTTTTTCTTCTGATAGCAACATATAACAAGATAAAAAAAAAAAAAAAAACAATTGTCCAAATTCCAGAATACCAGTTAGACAAATTTATCAAAGTTATATATCAAATTTATCAAGAATCAACTGTATTTAAGAAGCTCTACTTCATACAACTACAAAACTTCTTTACAACAACATTTTCACATAAGAGCAAGAAAATATTGATATCCAATAAAATTCCATAGTAAAACTATTAATCCAGGGGCAATTGCATTAAGCTACAATCAAAAGGTTACTTCAATAGTCATTTATCTATTGTTTACAACAACATTGTCACATGAGAACAACTAAATATTGGCATTCCATATAATTCAATAGTAAAACCATTAATCCATTGCTAAGTGCATTAGGCTAAAATCAAAAGGTTACTTTCAATAGTCATATACATCTAGAGCAAGTCAAATCAAAACAATTTGAAAGGCTAAAGTGAAAATTATTATAATAGCAACATACACATTCCGTCCCCATTTTTCAGTTGCAGCAAGAACTTTAGCCTCAGAGCCATGGCCAGAACATTTCAGGTAATAGCCAAATGTTTCCTTGGTAGGGTATGGAAGTTTGCAAAAGCTCTCCCCCTCCTTAGAATAGATGAAGTGCTGCTTCCTGAAATCAAAGTAAATCTCCTTTGCATTTGTTGCTGATGAAGAACTTGCCACCTATGCAATTAAAGAAATAAAACAAAATAAGAACTGAAAGGGGAGGGGAAGGGAGTAAAAGTAGGGGCACTAGAAGCAAAATATATATGAAATGAGAGAGTAGAAAGGCAGAGAAGGACTTTAGATCCCAATAAGGGGGAAAAGAACAGGGGCAAGTGGGCAAAAATAAATCACACAGGTTATACAAACAAAATTCCCAGGAGGGAGAAAGAGAACCACTCTTCAACTATTGGAAGAGATTAGATGGAATCTCCCTCCCTCTATATCTGTTTGTACATCTGTGTATACTTGACCCAAGTGAATGCAATCAAGAGAGTCCATTATTGGGTTGGGAGTGCATCTTCAAGAACACAACTCTTTGATCTACCATTTCTCCCTCTATAGGCTTCCCAACCTAACTAGGAAAGGAAACATCGAGTATACTGGGTCTCAAGCTTTCAGCATTTGCTTCTCAAATATATTGATTGTTAACACCACCCAAACAATCTACACCATAGGAACATTTATACAATAATAATGCTGCAAGAGTCACTAGCTTGACTCACATAGCACCAATCAAACAACACATTGCTGAAAAAGATATTCACACATTACCCATAATGATATATTATCATGAACTGAAGCATAATATCATTAGTTACCACTCAAATTGAACATATTTCATTAAAACAGAGGAAAAAACTAACAAACAACAATTATCACTGCAAGGAAACTGAAGCCTACAGCTACACTATTCTTTTAGATGATGTGGCATAAGCTGCAGGAAGTTGACACCATAGATCCTTTTGTGCTTCTATGCATTCATTCTTCTTCCAGTGGCACAAATTTACCATGCAAACAAAAAAATAACGGGGCAGAGCACAGGTCTAGTTTACACAAAACAGGCCAAAATTGAGCCTTAGGCTCAAACTTCATTGATAGACCGTGCATGACCAGGAAAGCTGATCATGACACATGAAAGAAGTCAACAACTACAAATTCATAAGCCAACAAAAGAAAATGCATTATTATGCAGTCAACCTAAAGTCCCTAACCTAAAGGAACTATTAGCATTGAGCTAATCCTTATTTTGAAATAACAAAACATTAAGCTAAATAAGCTTGATTAAGATTTTGAAAAAGATTTATTTAGTATTTGTTCTCAAATTATATTAGTAAATAAATACTAGTAATATTTAAATGAAAAATATTTTAGAAAAAAGTTTTAGATTTTGCAAAGATTTATTTAGTACATAATTCTTATGATATATTATTTTTTGTACTAAATAACTATTGTCTTCCAATATAGTATTTGATTTGGAAAATGTTTCTATAAAGCTTAAAACCCTTTTTTATGTTTTTGTATTTCTCAAACCAAAACTATCTTTAAATATTATTTATTTAAACTTAAATAAAAGTCCAATTCTTGTTTTTGAAGTGAACTTATTTATTTTGAACTCAATACAATTTTTGATAATATTAGTTTTGAGAAATGGATTAACTAGAGAAAGATATTTTGATAAAAACAAGGTTTTCCAATAATGAAAATGTTTTATTTTTCTATACAGATTTACAAAGTTTTAATATTCTAATTTTATATGGATGGAAAGCTTTTTGGGCCTACTTTCTAATGGATCAAACAAAATCAACATCCAAATTTTCTAAGAAAATATTTTGAATTCTTAATAGAGATTATGCAGGTTACCTAACAACTACACAAGGAGTAGTTTTGGATATTCACCATAATTTTTGTACATTGAATCAAATGTTGAATTTTATATGGATATAAAGCCCCTTAAGTCTAGTTTCTAAATCTTCAAATGGATCTTGTTTTGGAGTTGTATAACTCAAGATATAATCAAATTAGCAAGTAGAGTGCAAATAAGATTTAGTTTAAAGCTTCCGAATCCACTTTTCATTCAGAATCACCCCATATACAAAACCAGCTTGACCCGTTCGATCTCCTATCAAAATGAATCAAACAAATTCTCTTGCAACGGTCCAAATTTGAATGAAATTCAAGAACTGATCATTCCCCTAATGGACCCAATCGATCCTTTCGCTCCTAACAGCTTTTAACAACTACTTTGGAAAGAGAAAAGCATGCATTTTCATATCCCAATCTTCTCCAATGGCTGCAAAATTATTTCTTCTATAAATTGGGCACTCCAACACACTTGTGAAGTAATTGAGCAAGCACCCACAAGCCTTACATTCATTCTTTCAAGAATTCAAAATCATTCTAAAGATTAGAGCTTTAATTCTTCCCATTATCATATCTAAATTATATTTGTTCTTCATTTATCATTCCTTAAATTAGGCAACACTTAACCTTTAAAAGATTTCGTGGTTTGCAATTTCTTTTGTATTCAAAAGGGATTTTTGAGTCAAGGGACAAGGCATCCTCTTGGCTGAAATTAATAGGATCTGATAGAATCCTAGAAAGGCTAGAGGTTGCTATCTTGACCTGGAAATATAAGGATTGTACTTTACAAAAGATTTTTCAATTAGTGGATTGAGCTTGGCTAGAAGAGCTAAGAGAGAAAGGATGTAAGTGCCTTTTAAGAAGGACCGAACCTCTACAAATCTTTGTGTATGATTTCTCTATCTCTACTCTTTATTCATACAATCTTGTTTATATGCGTTTTAATTTTCTTTATTATTGTTAATCTCATCAAATTCAATCAAAGATTTAATTATTTTAAATTTCTCATTTAAATTTATTGAAAGTCAATTTTGGGAAAGAATTTGGAGACAATCCAATTCACCCCCTCTTGAATTGTTACCCACGCTTGAGCTAATAGGAGCCTTACATATCAGATTATTGTTGGTAAACACATTTTATTTGAACATGAATAACAAAAGAGAGCATTATTTTCAAGGCAGATGATTTGGCACTAAGACACAAAGCCAATCAAGGAAACTGAATTGGACCCTTTCTAGCAAGGCACCTTTGATCAGCACATGCCTTCTCCACCTAGGCACACTTTATTTAAAGCAAAGTGAAAAAAAAAGGGGTCTGGATTACGTATCTTTTAGATTTTCTAACTTTTAATTTCTTTCATCAGTTTTTCTTTTAATTGTCAAAAAAAAAAGAAGCTAAAATTAGTTCTTTTTACAATAATAAAGCATTGGGTATTATACTCCAAGCACAAATTTTTGGTTGAAGATTGAAATGGAAGAGACATTGAGCTTTCTTTGATGATGACTTTTACTTTATCGTGATAATTCTAGATATTTGGAACATGTTAAACAATGTAATGGAGTAAATTCTTTAATATTTTATTAACAAAAACATAAAGTTTAAGCTTATAGAATGCAATACATAGAATTTTCTTTATCATAATCATAAATTATCTTTTAAAAATTAGCAACTTGTATCAATCAAGCGAGTGCTTTTTTGTGCCTTACACTAAGGCAAGAATGCAACTAGCACCTTTGACAACATTGCATTAAAGCATTATAAATTCATGCCAAAATTCACTTGTTATTCACATAGGTCGCCCCAATAGGGATAAAGCTCAAACATAAAGGTCTACAGCAACCAATAGTACAAAGGCCTCAAAACAAGCTAGCCAAGTAGAAGTTCCCTTATCATTCAAAGGGACGCTTACTTTTACCAAAAGTAAACTCCAACATTTGCATTTACCACATGACAATTTTTCCCATTCCTTGCTTGATAACAAAGACTTGAAGATATGCAAAACATTGTTTCTCAAGAGTGAGTAAGCACTTCAAGGATAGGGGAAAAATGATAAATTTGATCCCTTTTACACTTTTTCTTTTTGGTTCAATAGGGGAAACATCTGATGCTATTGATATTACAGTTCATAATTCCATAATAAAAATTGACATTCTACTAGTTTGGTATCCACCTTTGATGGCTTCCAGCTGTTTGATCTTCCATTTATTAAACTATCCCTAAAACATCTTTTCAAAGAAAAAAAAAACCCCTAAAACAAATGTATGAAGGAAATGCTAAGTCAAACCTCAAAATAGTATTTAAGGCATGCTACTTCGAATTTCATGGAAATCAAAGGTCCTCCGCTAAGTGCCCATCGTATGGAGTTTTCTTAAATGCATGCAGTGCACTCATTTAAGATTGACATCAACTCATAAATCCATGAATAAAACTAGTATCAGCCATGACTCTCATTCATATTTCTACTACTAATGCAATCAACCTAAGAATTAATTTGAGAAGATTGAACTCCTAAACAATAAGAAAACAACAACAATAACACTAGATCCATCACAAAATCTATCCAATTCTCAATATCAACCAAAAAACAACATAACCTCTTTGCCTTTATTTGATGAAAACCATAATTCTCTAAATAAATCGTATACCTTAGGAAATTTATTAGGAGTAAAAACTAAGAGCCAATTTGGTTGTTACTTCTCCACTTGCTTTCTACTATTTTCTTTTCACTTCTTGAAAACTTGTTAAAAAGCTTTTGGTAAAAAAAAATCAAAATTGATTAAAAATGGAGAAACAAACCTAAAATGAAACACCAATTCCGACAAATATTATTTTATATAGCACTAAAATCATGCATTTGGTTCTGCAAAAAGGGAAACCACATAATATTATTACGATTAATAATATGAATACAACTCATCTTTCCATCAAAATGCACAATTTTGCTTTTCTACTTTAAGAACAGAAAAAAAAAAAAAAAAAAAAAAGCAAGAAACAAAAGTGGAATAAACAATACCAATATAATTAAAATGAAAACAAAAGAGAGAGAAACTTGCCTGTTTACGAAAATGAAGTGGTACTATCTCTTTTGAACCAGAAAACTTCGCTGGAGTAATTTTGCAGGCATCAGCAAGGTGAATATCATTAACCTATGCACACCGTTATATTCCAAAATTTAAAAAAAAAAAAAAAATCAATCAATCATTCATAAATTTGTAACAAACCGAACTTGCAAAAAAATATCTAGTACCTTACTATACTGAATAAGGCACTTGAAATCAACGGACCAAGCGGTGAATAGCAAGACCAATATATGAGTAACAACAAGGCCGCCGAAGACGATGGCTGCATCAACAAAATCTATGCTAGGAACTACGATAATTAGCCAAAGGAGATAGAGAATTGCGAAAGGCCAAACATCTAATCTCCATGCTTTGTGTTTCTTTCTAAGCAAATCAACCTTGTCCACTACTTTTCCACCTACATGGAACCTCGACATCTCAAATCCACTGCCCTGTTTGGTTACTGAAAATGTGTGCACAAAAAAAAAAAAAAAGAAATAAAGGCTTAGAAAATGAAGAAAATTTATCAATCCTGGAAGTCGTTCAAGTAATTGTAAATCCCAAAACTCCAAAATTGATTTGAGTGAGAAAATTGTAAAGATACCTGAGAAGAAGAAATCTAAAACCCTAAATCAAAGCAAATTGAAGTTGAAAAAGAGAGTAAAAAAGGGAAACAGAGAATACTGCTTTGGAACATATATAAAGTTAAATAAATCATGAAAGTCTATAAAGCATATATTAAATTAAAATGAAATTAAAAATAAAATGAAAAACACAATTGAAAATATTACAGTTTGTAATACTGTTGCTATGGTTTTTTAGTTATATGCATTCATATTAGCTAATTATCATTACAAGAATTTGTATCTATACTTAAATCTCTTAATTTGATGTTACTAGTAAAGCCATACTAATAGAGAATCTAAAATAATTATAAAAGAAAGAAAATAAAATTAAAATTGCACAAGCATATTATGTCAGTGAAAAAATAATATCTTTCAAATTTTACTTAAAAAATTTTGGTTAAACACCATAAATAAATTGTTGTTTAGGTCAAAATAATCGGTCCATAAGATTCAAAACGTGATATTTAATCAACCTGACCATTACTTACCTCAGTCCATAAACTAACATTTTTACATAAAAAATTTTTTCTCTATTTATTTTTGGTTAAAATAATAAAAAAGATTTTAAAATTTATCAGTTTTTTAAGATAAGTTATTATATTTTCATTAAAAATATACTTTAAACTCCTCTCCATTCCTTCTTCACATGGTTGGAGTTTTTAAAATTAACTCAGCAAAGCCTACATCTAAAACTAAAACCTACACTTCAAACCCCAAAAAATTTTACTTCAGCCAGCTTAAAATCGCTTGAAATTTTACCATGTTACTCCCCTCCCCTTGCAGATCATTTCCATCAATTTAGGTTTTCCCAAACCAAGCTTGAAAATTCACCATTATTATTGACATTCAACACTACCTACATCTAATCGATAATAAGCAAATCAGATCATGTTTTTTGCAGCCCCAAATTCACATAGAGACTTGCACACAAGATTGAAGTGCTGGGTGAATGGAGTACACTAATGATTCTAACCCACAGGTACATAAGCAAAGTTTTTTATTTTTTATTCTTTTTAATGGTTGCTGATTCATGTTTTTATGGTCAGGATGATGATGTAAATCATTGGAAGTGGTCAAAATGATTTTGTTGCGATCATACTCTGCACTCTAAAAATGTAAGTGTCATATCCTTACATTTGATTTTGTAATGCTTATTCCAACCTATTTTCAAATTTGATATTAACTAAAGCTGAGATTTGACAATTTGGAAAAGATATTTCCAACTAACATAAAAAGTTCTGGAACTATCAGCTTTTGGAGCTTTGAAATTGTAACAATGAGGTGAGGCAGGATGTGAAACTTTGAGGACTTTTCAACATCGATGTTATTTACTATTTTGAATATTATCAATCATGTTGAGTGAAAAACATTTATAAATAGTGATCTTAATAAGAATAAATTCATTTTAGTTTAGATGAAAACAGACGGCTTGAATATCATAATTTGGACTTAGGTTTGTTATATTAAAGCAATCCCCTACTACTTTGCATTGCAATTTTCTGCCAAATTATATTTGGTATTAATCATGAATTGGGGGCTAATAGTTGAAGTAAAGTTGGTGCGTGTGGATAATTATGAAAGGAATATTCATAGATGGGGTGAAACTGCTATTGTTCTTTGAAATTCTCTTCCTCTTTCTCATCTCTCACATCTATCTTCAGATTTTACAGCTTCCAAGACAAATAGCCACCTCTGAGAAGAATGGTTACATGTCTAAGTAGCCTCATATTTTCTACCACCAAGAAAGACCTTCAAAGCAATTCGAATAAAACCAAGAAACATGTGTCAGGATGATAAATAGCACTCTTCCTTTGCTAAGGTTCATATTCTTCCTTTAATAAATTTTCTTCTATTATTAGAGTTCAAGTTTGCAATCTATTAGCTATATATCTGTATGGTATATGAATTATTAATTCGTAAAATGAAAAAAGGAAAAGGAAAAACCTTAGACTCCTATATTGTACAGGAAAAATATAGAATCTTCTGCTGGTGGGTTAAAGATTCACGATGGGAATGTGAAATTTGTCGGTTTGGTCATCTTTGTATTGCTTTCAGTTCAATGCACACAATTCTAAGTTGCAATCTCTAAGCCTATCCACCACAGTGTCATATATATAGTGCATTTTCATAATTTGACTTTGAATGTTAAAAACAATTGCAACAATTTTAAAGTTTGTAAATTGGTCCATTTAGATAGTAAACCTAGTTTAAGTTTGAGTTTCCATTAAGTTTTCCTCTCACACATTACAAATTCTTCTCACTGCATATAATGTTTTGCATTGGTAATCTTTTGTGTTCAAAATAGCAAGATACAAAAACTAGTAACAAAGTAATTCAATCATGATGTAAATCAAATTATTCACAATTGAAGTAGTTTGAATTTCCACCATCAATGTACTTCACTCATCTAAATATCTATTGCTTTTACTGTTTGCAGGGATTCAAAACTGGAGGGAAATTGCCATCCATATAACTGGATTGCGAGTTTTCGGAAGATTTTTGAACAAAAAATTGCTTCCGTTTGGTTTAAGTTTTATAAAACAAATCAAATTTTCTACGAGTACATAAAAAAAAAAAAGATTTGATGCTAATGGGTTGTGAGAATAGAAGAATATAAAATCAAAGTTAAGGGCTGAACAATCCATATCTCCTAATACATTGAAACAATTCTAGGGTAACATCAACAACCCAAAGAAGGAAACAAGTTTAAAAAAATTAATAATTAGGGCTTGACTGACCTCCGCCACCACCGCGATCGACACGAAAACCCATGCCTTTTCAACGTACGTTATAACTCAAAGACACTAAAGGTAAGGGAAGAGCAAGCCCACGAACCAGCTGAGAAAAAGCCGCTGCTTTTTTCTTTTATACTGGTATCGAGTATAACCAGGGCATACATACATACACACACGACTACACGAAATATAGGAGCGGCGTCGTTTCTTTTGCTTTTAAGTCGGTTTTCGTAAATTCCAAAGCACATGGCTTCACCCATAAAAATTTTTCACGACAAATGAATTTTTTAAAATTTGTTAATTCGTAAATTCTTTTTTTTTCAATTTGTAAAGAAAAATAAAAAAAATTATATTAAAATCTACCTACAATCACTAATATTTTATATCTAAATAAAAAAACAATGATTATTTTGAAAGTTAACATAAATGGTTATCAACTTTCATCCCATTCATTATGAAGGACTAGTTTCATAAGCCCATAAACCATTGCCAATACTGTCTATTTTCATTGTTGGAATATTTTTTTTATTTTTTATTTTTGGTATTAACGAATTATATATGTGAACTGCAAATAGCGTATCTTATTCACAGCTCATAGAGATATCAACAGAATTAAAAATGATAACGGATCGAATCGAAACGAATTTTTATTCACTCTAAATTTGATTTTATGATAATTTTTTATATTTTTATATTTGAATCCGATTCGATTTGATATTATATAAAATTATATCCAATTCGATTCGACTCGAAATTAATAAAATATTATTTTTAATATAAATATAAAATTAAATTTATATAAATAATTATAAAATTAAATAAATAATTAAAAAATTATTTTTATATATATCAAATCGGATAGAGTCGAATTTACTTAAAATTCGATCTTGATCTGACTTTAATTTTTTTTTCATGTCACCCGATACGATCTGATCCGATAACCAACTTTTAAAATAAAAAATTAATCTTAAAAAATCAAATCGAATCGAAACCGTCAATTTTGAATTTTTTTAAACATAACCAATATAGCTATATCAATAAATGGACCAACATCCCAATCCCAACAAAATAATCATTGGCTTGTTTCTTTTTTCCACGTTATAAAGCCGCTGCTTTCAATCTGTTACATCCGCAAATTTAGAAAAATTAGTATAAGGAATGTATTATTAGATATTTAAATTATGATTATAATCAATTTTTTGATCACGTCATATTTGTTATAATAAATAAAATAACATTAGTCACAATTTATCATGATCATAAATATTTTTTATTTTTGTGCAACTTATTTCAAATGAAATAAAAAAATAATTGTAACCAAAAATGCTTATATTTTATGTTATTAAAAAAATAAAACATTTTAATTTCATTTTTTATAAATTAAAACCAATTATTAACATTTTTTTATTGTGTATCAATAGTCAATATACATATTTGAAAATTATTTAATAAGATATCAATAAATTTTACTAATATGACTAATATAACTATATAAAATTAAAAGAATAACATCATGTGAAATTAAGCTTTTCTTTTTTTCTTTCAAGTACATGAAATTCATAAACTAATTTAATTGGAAAAAGTAATGGATGAAAATTTTATTTTATTAATTTACACATTAAATCAATAGTTAGTAATCTAACATTAATTAAACACAAAAAATACAATTAAAATTAACATTAATTATAGTAAAATTTTAATATAAAATTAATTATTTTTAAATAATACTTATACATATAAAACACTTATAAAAATAAAATTTATATTAATAATCTTTCGTTCTCTCTCAAATTAAATTTTGTATTAATAACATAAAAGAAAAGATTCAAACTTAACAGTAGCAACGATCAAATAAGGTTTGTATCGAGACTCTTCCCCTCAAGAATCCTTATCCTCAAAGACTAAAATTTGGGTGTTTCTATTATAGATCAAAGAGAACTTCCCACCTAGCATCCTCTGGAAATGTGTTGGACCACTAGACCAGTACTTCTGTCACTGCCCTGTTCCCCCTTCTGTCTATTCTCCTTTCAACAATCCTTAAAGTTTCCTTGCTGATGGTGCCATCCTCTCTCATCAAGGGTAGCTTGGACTGAATAGGAGCTGACTTAATGTGTTTATTCGGCTGTGAAACTTGAAAAGTAGGGTGTACTTTTGAACCAACTGGTAAGTTCAATTTATAAGCCACCTGTCCAACCTTTACCACCACTTGGAATGGACCATAGTACTTGGTAGATAATTTTAAACAGCTTCTATTAATAATAGATTTCTGCTTATATGTTTGCAACTTCACATACACCCAATCCCTGGATCAAATTGCTTGTCACTTCTTCTCTTGTTAGCAAGAGTCTCCATCCTGGCTTGAGGTTTGTAAATAAAATTTAAGCATATGAATGGCTGCTTCCCTTACTTGAAGGCTTCTATCCACAGTTTCCAAAATAAAATCCCCAGTCAAATAAGGTAGGTGCACAGGCATGGGTTGTTCATAAACTACTTCATATGGAGTAATGTGAGTAGAGGAGTGGTAATTTATGTTGTGCCACCATTCTACGAGAGCTAACCACGAACTCCACTCCTTCGGCTTCTCGCTGGTCGTGCATCTCAGATAAGTCGTTAGGCCATTGTTTTGCAAATCTAATATTGGCGTCCAAAGGAGATTCACATTTTTCATTCTCGTACTACATCCATACCATTATGTATATTCATGATTGTTAGTAGAAGAGTGTTCCATTGGCGACAGGAAAAGTTTTGGCTTTTATTTCATCCAACCCATAATAGATGAGATTTGCCTTGTATATCTGTTAATTGTTCATATACCTCCATAATATATATCTCACAATTTAAGTTGATTGAAGCATGAATTGACCAAGGCAGGTTTCGGTAGCTCTATTATGAACATTAAGATTGCAATTCCCATTGGTTTTTGCGAAGAGTCAATTCTTTTACTCACCAACTAAAATAGGCCTAAGCTGGTGGATGAAATATATAAAATTAATTCCATTTTCCTCCATGGTAACACCCTCTAGCTTCTTTGCTTCTTGTCCTGCCTGTCATTTCGAAGTTTCATCAACTTTACTCCTCTTTTCCATGTTTCTTCACAGGAAACTTGTTCATAAGTAGGTTATCGTTAAAGAAATCATGAAGGAGGACAAAACGGTAAGTGATTAAGGTGCCGTTTGGCATATAGGGAGTGTACAGAGGGAAGGGTTTCCGTTTCAAGCCCTGATTCGCCATAGTTTCATTTTGTGACTAAATTTTTAAAAGTTTAATCATAAAATGACGTACGATGCTATGAAAATCTTTCTCACCATGGGGAGCTTAAGCCCTCTTATTATTTCAAGGAGGGCTAAATTGGTAACGTAGAATTGATTAAACCCGGTCAGGTATGCTTCAAAAGTCCAGTCACATAACTCGTATGGTAGTTTGATCTTTGATTAGGCAATATTTATGATAATAAGACAATTCCTTGTATTATATGAAAAAAATTAAAAAACCAGATCATACGAATCGATTATTTCGTGCAAACGAATATTGTTATTATTATTAGAAATATCAAAATGTTTGATTATAAAATTTATGGAATCATTAATTGGTACTGTATCATCCTATATTGTTTGTCTTTATTTGATTTTTATGAAGTTTTTAATACATAAAAGTAAAAAAAAAATCTTGAAAAATAATTTTGGAATACATAAAAATTTAAAGAATTAAGTGTTAAAAAAAGATATAATTTTAACACATCCAAAAATTAATAAAAAATAGTATGGAAGGAGTATTTTTTAAAAAAAAGTCTAGAAACTAATGTATTAAAATTAAAAATAAATTGCATAAATAATTCTTAAAAACAAACTATATTCAGTCAAAATGTGAATGAAAATTATATTTGTTGACTTTAAAAATATATTTATAAAACCATCTTTATATATTCTAGTTATAAGCATGCGCAATTTTTATCTCTAAAAATTTATCTTAATAAATAATTTTTTTGATATTGTGATAATAATAATAACAAATACTGATAATTTAATTTTGATTTTGGTATAATATAAGTAAAAATTGATAACTTTTGATAATAATGATAAATAATAATAATTTAATTTGTATTTTTTATACTATAATTTGATCACTTTTGATAAAATTTTGATTTCAATACTCTTTGATAAAATTTTGGTAACCTTCAATACAATTGTCGTAACCTTCAATGTTACTTTGATAACTTATGATATATTTGATAATCGTTGACACGATTTTAATAATATTTTATAAAATTTTGGTATCATCTTTCTGTTGATGTAATTTTAGTAATCTTTTGGTAATTTATTATATATTTTTTGTAATTATTGATAAAATTTATGTTATCATGTATTTAACAATAGATTCATGCAAAAAAGTAATTGTTCAATTCTTGTATAAGATAATTTTCTTTTTATATAATAATATTATTGTTTCATTCAAATTTAGAATTTTTTCACTAAATTTTTCACTAAATAGATTCATAGTAGATTTATCCTAACCTTCTAAGATAAAATTTGTAGCTTCATTTTTGCTAATAACCAATGTTCAATTCCTAACAACTTCAAATATAAAATATTTAATGATTGATAATTAAGTTATCATTTATTTAGTCAAATTTTATCAATTATTTATAACTAAGTTGTCAATGATATACTACTAAATTATAAATGATTTACTACCAAATTAACATTAAAGTACTTCTAATTTATGAATGATTTACTACTAAGTATTAAATGATTTACTAATAAATTATTGATGATTTATTACTAAGTTACTTATGATTTATCTTAAAGTTATAATTGATTTACAATTAATTTATCAATAATTAACTATAAAATTATCAATAATATACTAATTTATCATAAAACCATCACTGATTTACAACTAAATTTTAAATGATTTGCTATTTACTGATTTACTACTAAGTTATCAATGATTTATTGCATAATCAATATCATGCATACAATAATTAAGCACTTAATATTCAATCAAGAATAGACAACTAATTTCAAATTTACTTTAAATAAAAGTTTAGAGGTTATCAATCTCCATTGTTTCTAGAGTATCCAACTTTCAAAATTATAATATAACTCCTTACTCTAACACAACTACAAGAGACTAAGTCTCTTATTCCTTTTGAAACACATACTT